AAGCTTAAGAATCGTAACAAAACCACCTATGAAAATATAACCAACGTGATTCTGACAGACAATCCTTGAAAGCCTGGGAGGGACAGCAACATGCCCATGGCCAACAAGCAACGAAGTGCTACCAGGAAAGAAGATGAAGGGGCAGATGCAATACGACATATCTAAAAGCAAGCATGTGCAATACTTTTATTATATTGCTAAAACCTCACAATCACCCTGAGCATTACATAGCTTGGTGGAGGGGTGGGGGGAACAAACAGGAAAGTCTGAAAAATAGTCCTGGCCAGGCGCTGAGGTCAGACTTTGGCATTTAAAGTTAACTCCAAAATAAGAGTTTTTGTAGCCCCAGTTTGAGGCAGGATGAGCTTGAATTAGCAGAGCTGACCTCAAAGGATACAGATTTCATTGCAATAAATGTCACAGATTAAGTGCTGCCAATCACTCAGCATCTTCCTTGCTGCATTACATCAAAGTGTGCCGTTTCTGTTTGACTAAGAACAGAAAAACACGGTGAAACATGGAAAGCCTGATACTAGAAAAGCTGGGGATTTAAACTAGTTTACGTGCTGGGCAACTGTAACCAAACTCAAGAGAATGACCAGGGTCTGGAAGAAAATGTAGCCTTCAGGTCAATGTACTCTTTCATGGATAATAGCCTTGCTCTGCCTGTAATTTTCTTCCAGCCATGGCAATACTGTCAATTGGGCTGCAAAACAACAATTAGAATCTAAAGCTACACCCAAAGTAAAGCCATTGCCCTGCAGTACAGAACAATTGCTACCTTATTACCGCCCCAGAAGTGAGACTCAGCAAAAGATCAAACCCTTCCATGTGCTTTGGAAGTTGAAAACGGCCAGTGTTCATCTCCCTTCCCACACAGCAGCTCACTTGCTAAAAATCACTCCCCCCCCCAATTAAACAACCAGTTCTGCAGAAACTGTCTTGTGTTCCAATATGTACAGAGGGACTGCAAATTCAGCTTACAAACAGGGGCAGTCAAGAGATGGCTGTCAGAATTTCAGCACTCTGCAGTTCTGCTGACAGCCAGTGAGAAAGAATGGTGTAGGTAATAATGTAAGACTAGGACTAAGAAAACCTGGGTTCAAAGCCCTACTTGGCCATGGAAACGCACTGGGGAGCAACAGTGGTAAGCTGTTCCTTGAACACTTCACATACTTAGAAAACATGATTAGGGGCTCCATAAGTCAGAAACTACCTGATAGCATGTAACAACCGATAGTCCTCTTATTCTTTCATCTAGTATTTCTACACACTGATTCAGATTCTCAGCTATATGCTCTTCACATCTCTCTCTCTCTCTTTTCCTTTCTTCTGCAGTCAACCTGAAACTTAGCAACTTGCAAACTAATCTCACAAATGCTTAGCATTAAACATTGACAAACATACTAAAAATAATAAATGATAGATAGATAAGAAAGAGAGAGAGATAGACAAACAAACAGACAAACTGTGCAAGAGACACAGAGTCACACACATGCAGACTGGGAACCAGGTACTTGACTGACTGAGGGCCAACATTACACTTTTCATTCTGCATAAATGTTTGCATGGAGGCTTTCCCATTTCCTCCTCCATCACCTGCTACGTAAGCAAAAGAGATGACCATCAATCAATACAGAGGACTGAGACAGCTACAAAGAAAGAAAGTGTTATGGAACTCAAGAACACACATATAAATGGTCTTATAGCAAGCCTGACTATTGGCCTATCTGCTATATAATAGTCTCTATAAATAGTCTATTGTCTATTTCGCTAGCTCTTCAAAGTCTCAAAGAAAAAGAGTGTTCCCCGCCAACTTCTCTCTGATCCGTCAACTTCAGAGTTAGGCAGGAACAGTCTTCCAGATCTTTCTGGACCACATGTCTAAACAGCTCTAGCTAGCATAGACTATGGTGAGAAATGTGAGAAGTTACAGTCCATCAGGGTCTTTTAAGGCCATGGTTACACACACACACACACCTGGGTCAGCTGCCTCTCCTCCAGGACATTGAGTACAATGACAGACTCCTCCTTGAGGAAAATTTGCAAAATTTTATTAGTGGCAGATTCTGGTCACCAGTATTCTCAAAATAAGCCAAAAGAAGATCTAGAGTGCAAGCAACCCCTGACTCAAGAGATCCCAGCTCACAGAATAGAACCCATTTCTATTTCTATTTTTGCACTAGTATTGCTGTTGAGGGCTTCTCTTTGTCCCCTGAGAATATCAGAGATGGAGTTTGATCCAGGGTAACTTAATACCTGACACTTATATAAATAATTTGAATAAACAGTAAATAATAATTAGAATATATTCACACCCACACTTTACATGCTTGGCTATTCCTATGTACACCTCACATGCTTGACTTGACTTCTCAAAGTTTCACTTGTAAAGTACACCTGGTACTACCAGGCTAAGCACTGTGCCACCCCACTGCCTGGTTGGAATTTATGACCCCTTAGGGCAAGACTGCTGAAATCACGTAAAATAACAATACTGCTATTTGCTAAGGGCTTCTAAAATACATCAGACGTTATCATTGCCTCAATCAGTGCAACATGATTACAGGCATCCAAAGCAAGAAGAACTTGGAGGCACTGAATTGTTAGACTACAGCTCTTAGAATCCAAAGAGGATCCTCAGAATTGTAGTCCATAAAGTAACTTTTTCAAGCTCTGCTTAGGACTACACTATATCCCCAGGTTGACATAAGACTGCAGTGTAAGGGACATATCTCTATCATCTTTGAATTGTACCTCTCTCTAGGCAGTTTTCTTTCCCTCGGGACCAGTGTTAATCTGGTATTTGCTTCTTGATGTTTCAATAACAAGTGCAAAAGAAGGGCTTGTAATCATCCGCTTGTCAATGAATGGAAATGCAGCTTTTGTTGCACTGCAACTCCCATGAATCTTAGCTAGCACTGCCCATTGAGAAGAATGATGGGAGCTGCAATCCAAAAATATCTAGAAGGTTGGATTTTTCCTGGCCTATATGGACTTGCATCTGCTCTCCTAGGTTTCAGACAGGAGCCTTTCCAATCCTAGATGGAGCTTTGATCTGTGATTAAAATAGTGACCTTCTGTCTGTAACTTTCTATCAACAGTTACCCTCACAGCAAATCGGTTCCTTTACATGGGAAGAATGGCATTCAAAACTTTCCAAAAGTTCTGCTCCAGAAGTAGCAAAACTGCAGCGTTTCTACATCTGACAGTGTAGAAAGAATGGACTGGGGGTGTGTGTGAATGTTGCTTTTAATACAATTCAAAAACATATATTTAAAGGAATGAAAAATTTAAAAGGATTTTTAAAAAGTATTCAGGTCACAACAGATGCATGGATTCAGCTATGGGCAGTTTCTCAACCAGCCCTTCAGGCAAGACAAAACAAAACTTTAAAAAAATTATGTGATACAGCGCATCAGCAATAGTCTACTACAATTTAATTTTTTTTTTCACTTCCCCTGCTCCTCCCTCCACAGAGAAGCAGACAAAATGTTCAATCTGCCAATATCCTGAACTTGATCACTTATTAAGCCACTTCAGAAATTCAAACTTGAAGGCGCCGGACCAAATAGGATCGCTTGAGTTTCAGTATGCCATTTGGATGCAAGGAACACACCAAATGGCCTATCACAATTCTAAATAATCCCAAGTGACCTTATTTAGCCTGCACCATCCCTCTCCAAAAAGATTCATGTAGACAAGCCCTCAGGTCTTCATACAACCTCTTGTCTTAGGGGTGAATCTCAAAGTTAGGAATGCTACCCTTAGCTACAGAAGGACAAGAAAATGTGAGGCAAAAAACAAATATAACAGAACACTATCTTTTCCGTGGCATTTTTACTTAGGGTTCTACAAGAGCACTCTCCTCACATGCATCTTTCTAAACACCTGAGCAAATAAAGTTTTATAAAATAACTATCTCGTCTGCAGGTGAAATGAAGCATAGAGACTACAATTCATTTTGCCCAATTGTTCCAGGGGGTCCATACAGAAAAGGCCGAGTATGGATGGCCTGTCAAGAGCGAACAGAAGCAGCCATGGGAAAAATAATGACTCCACATGCAATCATGTACCGGTGAACCCAAATCAGGTGGAAGGGTGCTTGAGAAGATAAATGCAAGGTGTGGATGTGGTAAGTCAAGGGTCTTGGCCAACAGCATTTAATTGAATGTTTCCTTATAATTTACATTCTCGGCAGATCTCTGGAAATAAATCAAGATCACACAGCTCAATGTATGATGTGCGGTGCATTCAGTTACAAAGCAAACAATTCAAGTCCTATGGTTTGGGGGCACTGTTCCACGAGTCCTGGAACCAAGATCAGAAAACTTTGATCGCAGCAAAATCGGAGATGGAAAAGTTAATTTTTTAAAAAACTACAATTCCCAGAATGCTCCAATTTTTTAAAAAAACTACAATTCCCAGAATGCCCCAGTCAATCAATACAGCCAGTGGCCATGCCATTGTCTGTATTCCATGAGCTGCATCCCAAAAAGTAACTCTGCTAGTCTCTGGATAAGCCACAGTGTGTGCCCACCTCAAGCAGAAGAGAGTGAGGTCACCTTGATCATGTCTCTCCGATGCTTCTTCCCCGCTGGAGACGCCCCTCATGTAAGAGCACTACTTGTGTCCTGTACTTAACCCAAGAGCATCTCTGGAGGATGTGTTTATCCTGCTCCCCATATGGTGTGGGCACGAAGCTTCAGGGCAAAACCACAAGCCCTGAGGACACAGCCACGGTTCCTGGGGCAAGCGGCCCCTGAGACACCTTTGCCAAGGCATTCTCGAGTACCGGAGGATGC